TATAAAAAGAAAAAAAAATAAATCATGTCATCGAATGATAGTCATTCAACCAGACAAGAATTTTCGTAAATACGATTAAACACCCTAATTGCAGTTTCTCTTCCAGAATTTTCACATCCATTCAGAAAATACTGAGATCAGCTACTTTCAATTTAAACGATGAATAAAGACGATTAGAAAGGCAACTTTTGAATCTGAGAAAATGTTCAAAAGATTTTCTTACAATATATTGGACATGCATCGCCCATAAAAAGAGTCATTTTTATCTGCAAAAGTTGTCTTTTTAATGGTCTTCATACACTTTTATGATGAAAGTTACTGGTTTTGATGTTTTCTGAGTGGACATGAAAACACTCAAACAACAACTACAATTAGTATCAAAACTCAATTTAATAATTAAAATCTTCTTTCAGAACTTGAGTTGTGAAATGAAGTTCAGCCTTTAAATCTTAATTCACATATAAAAACTGACTTAATTTATCTAGTCTTGAAAATTTCCAATGTCTTATACTCACACAAAACAGAAAAAATAATTTAACTAAATCTATAATATTTCTTGATGAAGTTTCTTTGTTGTTTAATTTTCTATGTTGATTAAGAAAGAAATTCTAATATTTAATTTCTAGATCGTCCATCTACATCGAAAGCTACATTTGTTGACGAAATATTTTCAAGAACACATCATATGCAATGCATACCATCATTTAGTGATGATCGAACATCAGTAACAGTTTATTTTGTTGAACGTCGTTTATAAGAAAGTTCACATTGATCAAAAGTAACACAACAAATCATTACATTAGATACAAATTAAATTAAAGTTGAAGAAATTATTGAAGAAAATAAATATAAATTTCGAATAATTGCTTGTAATCAAGTTGATCAACCAGATCCAAAAGACCGATCAAGAATTATTGTTGCTAAAAATTCATTTAGCATGTCATATGATTTTTCAGAAAAAAACATGGGTACACGTATTCATTTACCTATAAGTGCGATTGGTAATGAATGGTTTGATTTAAATTAGTAACTATCAATTAAAGATATGGGTTCACTTATCACAGATAACGTAATTGAACGATGAACCGCTTGAAGTTATAAATTGCAGAGTCGTGCTGTCTATTCTTTGCCTATTAGTATATCCATTAGTGTATAAGTAACTGTTCATGAAAATTTATTCAAATTTGTAGATAATGTATTCGTTGATTTTCATTATGAATATTTACCAGAATTCTTGCCTTTTTTTAGATTAGCCTTTTGCTTGTTTATATCGCTTGATAAAACTTAGGACATACCAAGAGTAGTGATTGTGACAGATTAAATTCCATAGGAAAGAACTTACCAAGCTTTTGCTTCAACAAGTATTTGAGCTAGTAGCCATGCTTAATCACGCACAATCAATTTGTTGAAATTATTTTTTAAATAATCTTTGATTGAAGAAGTTTATCAACTAGATCAAGTAACTGAAAAATATTTTGTACTTTATCTCTCGAGTATGTTGAGTATAAAATATAGGAGCTACTTAAGTTATCAGCCAAATAGAATAATTTTAATTGCAACATACATAATACGTAATATTTTAGGTTTTATAACAAATTCTCTGTAACTACTATGAAATTCAGTACGAAGAAACTCTATAAGATAACTTGATATCAATTCAATATGCATCTATGACACAAAAAGTTATCTAAAGAATACTTAGTGTATTTAAATTTTGAGAACGAATTCAACAATAACATTGACTTTTAACGATCAAGGCTCAATGTTTACCTTTCAATTCACACACTTGTTGTCCGTGCCTTTTAATACAGTACGAAGCATTATATGAATATGAATTGAGACGACTTTTTTCTTATTGATACGGTCCAAAGCATCGCATTAATGTAAATTGAGGCAAGGTTTTTTTTCGTTTTAACACAGTTCAATGTAATGTACCCATACACACTGAGGCATTTTTTTTCTTTTTGATATAGTTCGAATCACTGCATTTATGTTGACCGAAGTGAATTTTGTTTTCTTTATGATACGGTTCGAAGCACAGTATAAATTGTGAATTGGAGCAACTTCATTTTCTTTATTGTAAGGTGTGAAGCATTTATATAGTTATTCGTTACGAGTTTTCAGTAGATCGTTCATTCTTTCTTTCTGTCTTAGACGTGCACATTTTTTTTCAAATTCCGAAATAATTGAAACGAAGATAGCCAGAAAAGTTAGTTATCACTGAACAAGTGATTTTATATATGACAGTTGTAATTACAATGGATGATAGATACTGAATCAGAGAGAAAATCAAGAGACTAAAACATGTTGATATCTGTTAATAGACTTCTCTTAGTTATGAATTTCACCATGGCTACTTTTCAGTTTCTTTGGGACTCTAATCAATTCATTGAGCCTTTCATACGTAATCGTAGAAATGATTTTTTCTTTCAGCTTTCGTTTGTTTTGTTCATTAATTTATGTAGTTACAGTCAATAATTACATTCGCAAATATTTGCATCATCATTTCGATGCGTATAATTGATTGAAAGATAGAAAAAAATATCGTTCAAAGAATCTTTCAAGCAATGCTTTATTTTAACATGGAGATCGAGAGGGGGATATTTGTAAAATACATTCTAATTCACTCTAATCGCCGTTTAACTCGAAGTTAATATCATTCGATAGAGCTTAGAATTCTTCACTCAGGAGGTCTCACTCTAAGCCATTTTCTTTACAAAATCTTTGATAAAAGAATCAAATACCATTTTTATAGGTCCATTCCAACCCATTCTAAGCCCACTTCAACTCACTCTAAGTCAATTTTTTGTGAGAAAATGAATAACTCATAATAATAAACAACTCTTTGATTTATT